GCAATGACATTTCAACAATAGTATAAAATAATATTTTGCATTATAATATTATCATTGTCAGAATAAATTGAAACTATAAAAAATGTTTGAATGATGCCTTACATTCTCATCTATTTCATTTGGAGAGTACTGGAGTGTCTTATCTACAATGTAACTCACCTTCTAACTATATTGTTTACAAATATTGCTTAATTTAGGAGGATCTTTTAAATTAACATTCTGCAGTTAATTTGTCATTACCCATCCACAATCTCAATAATTGATAGTGTGTATATATGAGGCGGGAGAGGGTACCTCATAAACTTGCGATTTACATAATTATTTAAACATTCTGTATTTTTCTATTATTCTTTACTTTTTGACATTTGGAATTGATAGTTGGATACTACAGTGGATTCAGTCAACAGGTAAGTTGAATAAGTTATTGAGACCTGCATATTGAATACATGTGCAATGTATGATAAAACATAACCAGAATGGAGTGTTACAGAACAATTGATTTTAGCATGCATAGTAGAAAATTTATAATTCAGTTACTCTTTTTCACTAACCTGAGTTGCTATGCCAACAGGACATGTATTCAGATGACATTTTCTCATCATTGTACAACCCAATGTTATGAGTGGAGCGGTAGAAAATCCAAATTCATCTGCACCCAGTAACGCAGCAATAACAACATCACGACCTAGAAGAGAATATATGGTTGGATGCAGTCTATTCACATATATTATCTAGGGCAATAACTACATCACGACCTTGAAGAGAATATATGGTTGGATGCAGTCTATTCACATATATTATCTAGGGCAATAACTACATCACGACCTAGAAGAGAATATATGGTTGGATGCAGTCTATTCACATATATTATCTAGGGCAATAACTACATCACGACCTAGAAGAGAATATATGGTTGGATGCAGTCTATTCACATATATTATCTAGGGCAATAACTACATCACGACCTAGAAGAGAATATATGGTTGGATGCAGTCTATTCACATATATTATCTAGGGCAATAACTACATCACGACCTAGAAGAGAATATATGGTTGGATGCAGTCTATTCACATATATTATCTCGGGCAATAACACATAACAAAATAATTTATATTTTATGATCATCTTAGTTTGCAAGGTGCTTCATTTACTTGCCTGTTCTAAGCTGTCCATCTGTCTGTAAAATAACACGAGATCTCAGATCATTCATAACCAACACTTGATGTGTTTCTGCAATACCAAGTTCCCATGGTAACCCAGCATGTTTAATACCAGTCCAACTACTAGCCCCAGTTCCTCCATCATGTCCAGATATCACTATGTGCTCAGCTTTACCCTGTAAAAAATTTGATAATGTCAGCATTTGATGGTGGTAACATTATACCTTGTACAAACTAATTACTTGCATAAGTCACAAATTAGATGCATTTTACTGAAAGATATTTTAAACTGGCGATGTCATCAGAACTGTACAATTCCAGCAGAAAACGTGGTGTCTAGATACACTTATTTTAGCAAAATTTATCAAATGTGTATAGCACATTATTAAGAGTCGAAATAGTTATGAGGTTGCTGAAGCTCATGCAAAGTTTTGATGTCTCTATAATGCTATGACATCTTGTTTTTATGTACGGTTTCATGGATAATGTCAAATATTGCATGGAAAATTAGTTTTCAAAATTATAAATTTAAAATAAATCTCTATATTCTCAACAAACCATACTCACCTTGGCAACTCCGGATGCAACCACCCCAACACCAACCTCTGATACCAATTTAACACTGATTCTTGCTTGCGGATTGGCACATTTCAAATCATAAATCAGCTCAGCTAAATCTTCAATAGAGTAAATATCATGATGAGGTGGGGGTGAAATCAAACCAACACCAGCCACGGAATGACGAGTGGCAGCAATAGCTTCAGATACCTGAAAATAAACCAGACTACAACAATTACAATCTTATACTAGTTCATAGATATCAGATATACAAGCATTACAACAGATATTAAGGATAAATTAACAGCTTGAAATATTGCTGGAAAATGATCTGGCCAAAATTTAAACTTTAACTAAATACACAAACAGAGTGAAAAGACTGTTTTCTAAATGCTGGTTTAAGTCAGTTTTGAAAAAAATGAAAGAAAATAAGTTTATTAATAAGTAATAATTATTCAGTAGATCTTTCAATGACAATGACATGTATGATTTTATTATGGAATACCATGATCACATCAAAATTTCTCAAACAATACAATATCAAAGACATGTTTATGAAAAATACTGGCCAAAATTTGGCAGGAATTATATTTTATTTACCCTTTATATTACACATAAACATATCAGGGTATAGAATTATCTGAATAACAGACTTTGAAAAGTATTTGAACAGTGGCAAACTAACATGAGTTTCAGTAGCATAGGTGCCACTTTGTATTTATTGCAACCACAAAAAAATAATAATAATTGCATTAACAATGACATACTTCTACATGAATCTGATTATACAATGAAAGAATCAAAGAAAGCTTAAAAAGAACTCCTGTGTGCTGAGAATATGAAGACACATTAAAAATTAATTAAAAATTACTTGTACATTAGATATTGATGGAATAGCTGAAAACTAATTATGTAAATCAGGTAACTAATATGAACAAAACAATTATGCATTATTGTGCTAATTAAAAAATTAATAAGAACAAATTTTAACCCAAAATTAATCAGGCCTGTCTATTGGTCTAGAGCATTTATGTACCAAATTTCATTCAAAAATTCAGATATCAGTGTTAATTATGTTAATTAGGTGATTAATGAGCATAAATATTTACCAAAAACTAATTGGGTCTTTGCATAGTCCTAGAAGATCTATGTAGCAAGTCTCATTGAAATATGATGATTAGTACTTGGGATATCAGGCAAAGAGCTGAAAATTAACTAATTATGCTAATAAGGAGGTATGTAAATGTGTCTAAATGGACATAGTGCGAGTGGTTAGTGCGAGTAGCACTAATCCGAAAAACTACTAGATCTAGTGCTAAAATGGCACTAGATCTAGCGCTAAAATGGTACTAGATCTAATGCTAAAACGGCACTAGATCTAATGCTAAAACAGCACTAGATCTAGAGCTAAAATGTACATAGTGCGAGTGGGATTGATATCGCGTTGTCAACGACGTCAAGACATCCCGTAATTCTCTGAAAATAAATTAATATTTATGTAAAATTGTTGTATCTTTCATTCATTGGAAATGTGCTACAGTGGGAAAATTGAGAATGTCATTGTCCACGTTTGTCGTAATAGACCTTTGGAACAACGCGATCGGCTGGGAAACTAGCTGAAACAGTGAAACTGCAGGTCGAACTTCGCAA